ATATGATTGTGGGAAAATTCTACTACCAGTCCTTCATCACCTTCCACGAAATAGGGTGAATACATCTCATTAACTGATTTATTGGTAGTCTCGAAACCCTATTTACATACGAATAGAGTATATATACCACTTTTTAGGGATTTGCCGATGAGGTTTCTTGACTTGTTAGCTTCAATTTGGTTGTGACGATGATATCTTGCTCTGATGATGTCCATCATACGACGCACGAAAGCTTAGCACCTTTTCACCGGAATCGAAGCAGATTGCCTCGGAAACAGCGTAAACATCAATCTTCCAGTAAAGCCAATCGGCAGCTGGTACAGAAGAATCTGCCGTCGTCTTCTGGTGGAACCGACCTTCGAATATCTTAACCCAACACTTTCACTCGAAATGGAAGTAAGCTCAACAATCAGGAAAATGGCCAATTAAAACTGACATACCATTTGAAGAGCATGAACCGACTTTCATCCTTTTGTGGGCTTGGATGAGACCGATGCTAGATTAACAGTGAAGCAAACCCTATTCTTTCAGGAATGAGGAGGGGGGAATTTCAATCGAAAGGAAAATCTAATATATGAATTGTGTTTAGCCATATTTTGTTTAAACTTATAAAGGACTAGTAGTTGAATTTTCCCACAATTATTTAAGTAGAACTGACGCTTCCATTCAATTTCACATAGCCTTGCTTTCCCATACTCATAGCACTGTAGGGAAATCCAACCGCTAGCCCTTTATCATCTTAAAAGAAATAGGGTGAACACAACTCATATATCTGATTTACTGGTAGTCTCGAAAACCTACACACTTACGGGTTAATCATATCCTTCTCCATCATAAGATCTTGAAGCACAGAAGTTATCTGCATTGACCATTATTGCATTTATTAGTTTTCTAAACATAAGAGCCGAACAGATTTGGCATCTGATGTTCTTGATTCAAGTCACATTATATGCCATTCAAACGGAAAAAAAGCATCCAAAAGTAATTTGTAGATATTGACAGTATTTAAATGTAGATTTGAAGACCAAGGTTTTGTGACTTCTATTTTGGTTGCAGCTGGAATAATGCTCAATGTCCATTCCCATCACAACTACATGACAAAAATATGAATGCTGAAGAGAATGATTATCAGAAGCCTACGATTAACGGATGTGGAATTCTGGGATGAAGAATTGGACAAATTGACTTGGATATTGCTAGGCAATGGTTACCTGAAGCAGCATACGGGCCGTGAAAAACCGATTGTCGAACAGGAACTATGAAGGAACAGTAAAGACGGAGAAACACTCGTAAAAGAGGATATGCTACCTTCTAACGAACTAACTCGCAAACTACAGCCAATACTAAGGCAATGGAATATTCAGGTGACCACGAAAGAAAAAGGCATAATGCTTCACGCAGCATGAGAGTATGTACAAGTCGAATTGTTCGGGAGTTTACTGTATAGCATGTGACGTCTGTGAATGGAAATATATTAGCGAAACAGAAAGAAAAATCGGCACACGAGCCAAGGAACATCAAAGACTATGCAGGAAAATTGATACCAAGGGATTGGAAATGGTGAAATAGATATCACAGACTGGACGCGAGATCAACTGAGAGAAAACAGGAACAAGGGCCTTATACGATGCTAAAATAAGGAAACGGAAGATTAAGGAAGCCATTTGCATCCTAGAGGAAAAAAAAGTTGAAACGGCTGATAAATTTACTCTTGGAAAATAATTGTCCTTTGGGCCTAATTTGGAATAATATCTCTCTAATAACGAATAGATTTTCAGACGGAGACTATTTAGTCAAAGATAGACAAGCGGAGACCTTTCCTCATGTCTTAATTTTGCCTTCATGCCTTCTTGCAAAGAAGATGGGAGAACTAGTGAGAAAGTGGGGAATAAAAACAGTGTTAAAGGAAACCGTCACATTTTCTTCCATTAAGCCATCTTTTAGAAAGAAATATGACCCATTATCGAGATCAGGCCGCTACAAGATTGTGTGCTCTTTTGGTCGGCCTTATGCTGGTCTGGCATGCCGGTCTATTCGATGAAGATTAGGGGAACGCAAAAATGATGGAAAAGGAAGCTGGTTCCAGAGACTGGATATGAGATAGAAGGATCCAAATCTAGTATGGCGCTGCTGATTAAAATGAAGATAAGAGCGGTTATTTAAATTAATAAATTAGGGAATACATTGAATGTGAATAACACTGTTAGGAAGTTGTGTAAGAACTATTTATAGAAGTAGTTTGACCTAGTTTTCGCAACTTGCCATATTGGTAGGAAGACTTAGAGGAACACACCTTTTCCGGAGACTTTAGTATGCATGATCTTTTCCAGAGTCTGACCGTGGACGTGGTACATTCCAAGACGTTTCGCCGCCATCATCAGTCAGCATTGCCAGTCATAGCAGCAGACTACAACTCGGCAAAGAGACAAATGAAGTCAATCCTTTAACCAAATGTCTGCTAAACAGTTGTGGTATCACCAATCCTATATCTTCCTATCACCCCTGCACCATCACATTGTCTTTTTTAAATGTGGTATGGTGTGCCCTTGTTTAGCGGACCTCATGAGAACTCTCAGAATCCCACGCTGGCTTTCTCACTCCCCCTACCCTGCAATCCTCGTCCCATAGGTCTTACCAGAGTCTCCCTCTTGCCCCGTAAGATTCGCCTGCTACCCTTCTGGTTCAGGTATTTCACTCGAACCCTGCCACATTTTCTGTACTACTCGAAGCGTCATTTCCCACATTGTCTCAAGCCGTCGATGACACGCCTACTTCCGCCTCGCAGAGTAGGCCCCCAAAAATCGGGATCTTCAAGCTGGATGAGAGGCTAACTTGAGGCTAAAGAGCCCGAGTAATTCTCATGATCAAGTTTTTGCTTCATGGACTACGTCTATGATCAAACATCTTTACTGTTAGCCAAATAGCTCTAGTCTTTGCCGCATCTATCCTGTTTCTATCCCTAATTCTAAGTGTATGATTTCCTCTGTCCTAGTCTCTTGTGTGCCAACAAATGTTGCATGATTATAGACGTAGTCCATGAAGCAAAGGCTTGATCATGAGAATTACTGGGGCTCTTTAGCCTCAAGTTAGTCTCCCATCCAGCTTGAAGATCCCGATTTTTAGGGGCGAAAGTAGGCGTGTCATCGACGGCTTGAGACAATGTGGGAAATAACGCTTCGAGTAGTACAGAAAATGTGTCAGGGTTCGAGTGAAATGCCTGAACCAGGAGGGTAGCAGGCGAATCATACGGGGCAAGAGGGAGACTCTGGTAAGACCTATGGGACGAGGATTGCAGGGTGGGGGAGTGAGGGAGTGAGAAAGCCAGCGTGGGATTCGGAGAGTTCTCATGAGGTCCGCTAAAAAAGGGCACACCATATCACATTTTAATAAGACAATGTGATGGTGCAGGGGTGATGCAAAGATATAGGATTGGTGAATAGACCAGGTGAGAAAGAGAGGTACCACAACTGTTTGGCAGGCAATTGCTCAAAGGACAGACACACACACACACACGCTACAGCAAAAGTAGCAGAACAAATACGAAGGAAAAATAGCAAAACTATTCTTTATCTATTTATGCATTTTAGGTCTCCTACATTTAAGTGAGACTAAGAAAGATTATGTTAAGATAAAGCCTGATAGTCTTTTTGATTTAGTATTTGCTAACGTGAGAATTGTATAAGAGTGAGTTCCAGCTCTGTTGATGCCCATGAAATAATGGACGAAGGCTCAGGCTGTTTTCCCCTGAAACACGAGGGGATTTTTCGTGGATTTTGTCAACCTGAACGTCATATTAAAGCCAAACAGCTGCAGTACGACGGAATTCAGGCATCGTCTTCCGGTGAGATCAAGCTACAAATCTCTCCTTCACGCACTTTCATACGAAATCAACGTCTCCTCAACAATATTATCCCAAAAAAATGCATCTAAACACAGTTACTTTTCGCATCTACAAAAAAATGTTATCAATAGGAGATTGGAAGAAGGAAGAGTTAGGGATAAATTTGCCTATTGCTTAAACAAATTAGAATAAAACAAGGATACAACAGGATCAGAATAAAAGGAAACTCCTGGATCAGGGATCTATCGTTAATCAGTAGAAAAGGAATCGCAAGGAAGAAGCGGATAAGGGCATTTGTGAAGTCAAGAGGAGACGCTTTCAGTCAGTGAAGTCTGCTCTAAGAAGCAACTACAACTTTGGGGCGACCAGAGATAGACGTCCACAGTTTGCTGAGGATACAAGTGCCGATTCGTGAATACAATGCTTCATATCTCGGGCGCTCTGCTCGGTGAAGCGACAGTGTACGTGCTACGAAAGACTCGAGCCATAGCGCCGGGAGTAAAACGTTCACTGGTATTGTCGTACCTTTCATTTCGTATAAGAGAAGGCGGGTCAAAGGATTTGTAGATTGACCCCACCGGATACCGCAGGAGGGTTGCTGTGGACTTTTGTCTGTTGAATTGGTCCAAAAAGACCTCGGCTCACCGTCTTACCACCCCGATGACTCCGTGCTGTGACAGACATCCTCAGAACTGAGATCCCACTTATCGCTTATACCTCACTTTGCGATCTTAATGAGGCATTGTATGATTTGGTTGGCTGCAAGTGGGTCAAAGTGATGCAGAAAGGGGAGCCGATGTGGTCGCAACTTTTGTCTATGCAACTAAATTAAAGTATGATCCAGGACTATCGGATCATACTCTACTTTATTTATATACACAAAAGTTGTGATCACATCCGGCCCCTTGTCTGCATGCATGTAGGACAAGCAAGCGTCAGCCAACCAAATCATGCAACGCCTCATTGAACTCGCAAAGTGAGGCATACGAAGTGAGTAGCATCTCAGCTGGTTGCCTTTCTCGGTTGAGTGTTTATTCGTGATTTTTCGTGAATAAGGGTTTCTGGCTCTGACGATGTCCGTGACATGACGGGCGAAAGCTCAGCACGGAGCCATCGCGGTCGTAGGACAGTGAGCCGAGGTCTTCTTGGCACAATTCAACAGACAAAAGTCCCTTCTTCCCGCCTTCTCAAACGAAATGAAAGGTACCCCGGTATCATCCTGTTAAGGGATTTTTCGAAAGCCAGCTTCTCTTCATATCTCAAAAGTGCACTGGGGCTGAGACCGAATGAAATCAGTCAGTTAGAAGATAAGAAACCGATCTACGGGCCCATGAGGCAGATCCGGAATAGGAGGACCAGGCCGGATCAGCCAATCGAAAGGGGGGAGTCGAGGTGAACAGTGTGATGACGCCACACTAAACTAGGCAAAAGGTGAACACATTTTATGGAATGGGATGTAAACATTTCAGCATTTTTTATAGGACAGGAGTGAGTCCCCCTGACAGCACAAACAAGTTCCGAAAATTAGGCCAGAACACTTTTATGAATAGTTCTTGTTTCACACCTTTTAGGATGCTAATTGTGGTTGAAGTGCACTAACTCTGGTGTTTACCTGGATTGACAGAAAGTTTTTCCACTATGAATTGAGGAGAAAGTTAGATTTTTTAATGAATTTCACTTTTATATGCTTCCCAAAAGACCGATAAGATTCATACAGTAACTGCAGTTTCCACTCCATCTCATCGTCTCAGCCAAACCCTTGACGAGTTTCCATCAATGAAAACAGGAGTTTAGAGACAAATAAGTTATACTTTTGGCATTATGAGCATGAGTTCGACGAAAGCCTATCTCGCTCCACACCATTTTGTATGAAAGGCTGCATCGAAGCCGGGCATACAGACTAACCAAATCTACCGATTCTGCGATTGAGCCTCAAGTTAGAACGATTCAAAGAAACAAGTTCATTCGGGTCTTTCGTTTAAGGTTGTGTTCTAGCCAAATGGGAATCGAATTTTCATTTCGAAGGAAAAATGATGGCAAGCTTTTCGTGAATTGGCTGTCGCGGAGACAAAAGTGGAGTGAAGACGGCTGGATTGTACCCAGAAGTCTCTGGCTCACCAATCCCTTCGTGCTAAACCCTATCTTCAGAGCCATAGCTCCTGATTCACGTAAAAAGCACCATTACACTAATATGCTAAACAATTAAAAGCTAGACAACAATACATAACGTCATCCTTTTCCTGAAATGTTTGCAGATTAGTGGAGTTTATGTGTAAAGAGGATGTGGATGTGGCTACTTCCGTTTCCTTGTTCAGGACAAATCTGGCTTCACATGCTATTTTGGTGAAGCGAATAAAAAGCGAAATTAATTTTTTTTAAACAATAAAATTGTTCGTCTTTCTGATTATTTTCTTATTACAGTATTTGTTATACCGGGATTTGACCTGTATACGTGGACTAACGTTTAATCCTGCTATTTTGACGAGTGCTTGTTTGTGTGCTTGTGTGCGATGTGTGACTGAAGTAAGGTATGAGGGCCCTAACCGGATTCGAGGCTACTCAGGCCTCCTCCTCTTTCTCTCCATCCCTTCCTAACCCTATCCAATAACCATAAATAACACCCTTAAATTTCCTACATTTGTTCCTTCCATTCCTAATATTACACGAAAAGTTGAAATGTCTGTAGCCAGAAAGTTTCTGTATTTTGGACCCTGTATTAACCACGAGTCCGGTAATTGTAGCGTCTTGGATACAGTTGACCAAAGCATGCAAAAGTCCACCAGACACTCAAATTTGTCTAAGACAAAACTGAATTAGGCTGACTAAAAATGAACCATTTTGTCAAAAAATAAGCATTGCCCTCACAGAAACGACCATGTCAATAACGACTGGTTCATTATTTCGCTTGGAGAATGAATCGAGATCTAGGGCTGGCTACGGAGCCTTGTTTCACCGACTTGTGCCGGCGATAAAGAGCAACTTTTTGGATAAAACTATTGCGAAAAGTTCCGCCCATAACATCATGCCAAAAACCGAGCCACTTTAGGTTGTCCCTTGAGGCTGTATGCCTAAGTGAAATTATATGTGGACAGCATTCTCAATAAAGCAAAAAGCTTTCAACTCCCAATGCATCTCTGTGGTACCCCGTCCATTAGGCAGATTGAACATGGTCCAAAACAAGATCCGCATTTCTCAACGCCTCGAAGCAGGTATCGAAACAAGGCTCTTGGGCACCGAGTTCGTCTTCTGTCAACCCACTGTTGAGACTGGGCCCTAACGACTGTTCTCTCTGCAAGTCAGGGGCGCAATACTATGCTAAACTACACGATAAATATTGAATATAAATATATATATTTATCTTGACTATAATAAATTATATACATATGTAGTATTCTAAAAAAATAGTCATTTACATGTACGATACGATATTTCACTGTACTTCATTAGCACTTGCTTCGGCGACTGGGCAATTCTCATCATTGCAAACAATACAAGCGACTATGTTCCTAAAACTGGAACCTTCAGTGAAGGCCAAATAGACCTCCAACTCGATCCTGCCCGCTTTCCTGAACGGTGACGTGATTTTTTGAAGCACATGTCTGTCCCACATTTTCTCCCGTTTTAGTTGCTTGGTTGGCAGTATCCGGCCTGGTGCAAACTTCCGGTTATTTTGCACGTATTTGTTGCCACAGAAACTGGTCGCGTGAGGCCACACCTATTCTACAAGGCCTGCCGAGTGCCCGGAAAGGCGCCTCTGCAGGGCTGCATGGAGCGCCAACTAGACACGACCAGTGTGATAGAGATACAGTTTCCGCCATCGCTCTTCGCTTCGCCGGACCCAGTCATGACGTAAGTTTGAAAGTGGGCATTCTCACCTTTTCCACCCTTTTTACTCGATCATCTCTTGCACACCTTTTGCCCGATTTGCTCCAACCGCCTGGCCCACTTTGCACATGTCACTCTACTACACATCAAAGTTCGCCTGGCATCACACCGCCCCCGGGTAGGTGGTCAACCCTTGCAACAGGTGATGGCGCCAAGACGACGGGTGCTTTAGTGTCAGAAGCCAGGGCCTGGTTGGCGAGATTGGCGACAGAACAATGCAATCCGGTGTGGGATAGGTCGCGGGAGCTTTTGCTGGTCTTGCCGAAGTACAGGCAACCCTGATGGGGGCACCTGAAGGCGTCCACCATTCGTCGGATTGGCTGGCTTGCAGAGAGACCTGTTGTAGAGAGACGAGAGGTAATGGGCGGGTTCCAGCGGTTGGGAGAAGAGTGGTTGTAGCGTGTCAGAGGGAAGAAGAAGAGCACCAGGTTGCAAGACCAGCTTGGAGGGGTTTGAATGAGGCTTAGAGATTGGGCATTTTAGCCGTCCCACGGAAGTTATATACGAAGAAATGTTGGGTTTCTGGTGGAACGGACCATCGAATCTCTTCACCCAACACTTCCACTCGAAGTGGGAGTAAGCTCAACAACCACGGAAGTTAGTTGATTCTGAATTGAAAGTGAGCAGTCCCACATTTGCGTCTCGTTGAATTCAAGCATGGACTCTGTCCCGGCATGAATTTGTGACTGGATCTGAAAAAGCATGCTGAGGAGGACGTCATTGGATATGCTGGCCTTACAGTTGAGCGATTCGTATTCCGGAGCATGATACTTGATGCCTTCCTGGTGAATCCATGGGAAGCCTTTCTTTGATAACAGAATTTCACGGCTTAAGCACTTGAATTGCTACCGGTAGCTATTGCATAACAACACCAGCATACTCATTTAATCACAGGACAAATAAACTATTACATCCTAGTATAATTGAAAGTATGAAGACCGCGATAGGCTGACCGGTATCTTGGTTTGGGTCACATTATGTTGCATATAAGTCGGTTAACTTTGCTTTCGCGACTTGATCGTGTTGCCAGGGTGACCTAGGCAAACGCTTCTTTTCCGGAGTCCTCAGCCGGGATAGTTATGCTAATTTTCGGCCTCAGATTGTGGAGTTGGTATATTTCTCACTGAACACGAAACTTTCCCGATGCAAGGTCCGAAATGAGGTGTACGAGATTTTGTGCTAATTTAGATTTCCCGCTAGCTTGAGAATTCAACTTTGAACGCCTTAATGAGGCTATCAAACGATTGAGACCGATCACAAGAAAGAATGTCTCGAGTAGCGCGAATACACCAGCAGCGACCAACGCGAAGTCGCTGAATCGGAGAGATATGAAATGGACTTTACAATGCAGAAAGGAGGCTAGACTAGGCCTTTGGTGAATTCAATTGACAACTGGATGGGCCAAACTACAACTCGTTAAAGAGACGAGTGTGATCGACACTTCAAGTACAACAGGGATTGTGATTGGGCCTCCCTGAATCCAATCAAAAGGGCACACCTCTAGAGTTGGTTGATATAAGCGAAGAAAAGTTGGGTTTCGAGGAATCTCTTGTTTCATAATTGTTAAGCTTACTTCCATTTCGAGAGAGATTCGAAGGTCGGTTCCACCAGAAGACGACGGCGCATTCCTCTTGACCAGCTGTCGATTGGCTTTACTGGAGCATTCATGTTGACGCTGTTTCCGAGGCAATCTCCTTCGATTCCGGTAAAAAGGTGCTAAGCTTTCTTCCGTCATATGACGGACATCATCAGGGCGAAGTAGCATCATATGACGGACGAAATCTTAGCACCTTTTCACCGGAATCGAAGGAGATTGCCTTGGAAACAGCGTCAACATGAATGCTCCAGTAAAGCCAATCGACAGCTGGTCAAGAGTAATGTGCCGTCGTCTTCTGGTGGAACCGACCTTCGAATCTCTTCATCGCACACTTTCCCTCGAAATGGAAGTAAGCTCAACAATCCTGGTTTATATAAGGCAAGTTTAGCGTTGTGATAAGGAAAGGTAAAGCACGATAATATGGGACAAATGACTGGACAGGGACAGAAGGAGAGATATCACAACAGTAGAAAGTTGTTCGATGGTTAGATTTCATTTGTCTCTTTGACTAGCTGTAGTTTGGGGCAAGAAAAAGGATAAAAGGGTCTACCATGTCCACTGTCTGATGCTGTAAATTGTCATGACTACCGTAGCAAAGGGCTCCGGACAAGGTGGGTTCATTCAGGTCGTCCCGACAACTCGATCAAATGGGGAAGACGAGATCAAACTACGTCCAACAGTCCTTATAAGACCTTAAGTAACCCAGGTTGACTCAACTTCTGATTCGAATTTACTGACAGTTTTAATAAAATATATTTATTATGGGTAAAGTAGTTGTTTGCCATAGCAAATAGATTTTTGTCTCACTGCTATAAATGTGAATAGGAAAATGCCTGATTTGGCTTGAAAGTAGCATATGCTCAATGTCCGACTGGCCCTGTGGCCATGTGGTAAAGAAATGACTTGTCACTACTCAATACGCATGACCTAGTCGTGAATTTCCTTGGAGGCGCTGATGAGACCCTGATAGAGGTCGAACCCTAAACTCTGGCCAGATAAGAAACCCTTTTGGGAGGCAAGACTTTCTATGATTCAGTGACGTGTAGAAATTCATTTACTTACCCAAGCTGATTGCAGTTTTTATGGAAAATGTCTTGAGATGCCTATTCTCAAGAATCGTTCTACTTAGTACAGGCCAAATGATTCATTTCATCATTATTTCTATTGACAATAACCACGAGCTAAGCTAGGCTCCAATCAGGCTGAATGCTATTACTACTGATAATTCATAAGTAGCCATCTATCGCCACATGAGGCAACATAACCCCTGGACAAATCAACTTGTATCTGGCTGTTTTATTCATACTTTTCGAATATTGTATACGCACAGTATCGACTGTGTTGGCATAGTGAAACTACGCAACACGGATGTGGAGCAACGGTGTGCAGCCATTGCGAGATTGAGTTCTTTTACCGGACTGGCTGTGGCCACCAACACCAGCAGCACCGGTGACAGTGATGGCAACCGTGTAGCCAACCGTGTCGCAACACCAACTCCTGCCAGCATCACGACCTCTATACTCTTGCCTAACGAGACTTTGGCTCAAAACGCCCTGGAACCACCGGTATTTTCACTCCCTGCATCCAGGCCCCCTGTAAGCAGATGCATAAACCGTCATTCGGCCAGTTGCCATGGCAACAGCAGCGTCAACTCCGCTACTATTGCTTGCACAGTCTATCCCTCGGCCTCATCGCTGACCAAGAAGTTCAAGTCGACCAGAGCACGACTTGCGTTCCGCCTCTGGCTGCCACAGCCGGTGGAGGCGAGAACACCAACTCAATTACCGTCGAAGACTGTACCTCTTTTGCCTGTCGAGGCATTGGATGAGAAGAGGAAGGGTTCTGGAAGCATTTTGGCGTCCGATGAGGAGGCCTGCGGCACGTCAGAGGCGAGTTCAGGCCCTCACTTTGTGTACGAACCGATTCAAGTGGCAAGCGAGGCGATCCTGTGCAGTAAGAAACTTTTAAACAATTTGTTTTCCATTTTTTAATTGCCGGTCGTCTCTTTCTCGTGGAGACTCAAGAAGGTTGAATGTACCTTCAGGTAGTAAAAGGCTTACATGATGGAAAGGTGGGGTACCGAAATAGCTTGAAGAGCCACTTGGCATAAAATAATAAATTGGTGTTAAGTAAATAGGGTATTGAGTCTATTTTTTTGTGATATCTATGAAGCGTGACATTCTTTCGATACGTCTTATGGGATACCATTTTAGCCGCGACTTAATTGATGCGCCGTGAGTAATTTGATTTGGAGCTATACGTTTAACCTTAATTGGTGAGGTATACCCTCAAGCAAATATCTGTTTCCAGACACATTTGTGTAGCCTGTTGGTTGCACAGTCTAGCCAGAATGCTGTATGCCACAAAAGTTTGACAATTTCTCGAGAGGGAAGTGAAATTAGTATTCTCATAACCAGTATGTCGGAGAGAGATATGCTTTGCCCACCCAGAAGCAGGCACATGGATCAGAAGCCGAAGGGAGCCGATTTTGGTGCGACATGACATTCCATTTTGAAGGAAAAGTTGGCTGGAAGGAATTCATGAAATAGTCTCCGTTGAAACCGAAGGAAGATTGCAGTGTGGTGGGGATTGTTGTGCGAAGGAGTTCTTGCCACACCGATCAATCTGTGATCTGCTTTCATCTGTATTATGGCAGAAATGATCAGAGAAAGAGTCCATACTTTGTGAACTAGCGTAAAAAGATATAATTTATAAAGAGAAAAGGTGGTTGGCTGCAACCATATTCAATTTTTGTACATCCAACGTTGCGATCCTAGTGAGGCATAGCATGATTTAGTTGGCTACCTCAAACGTACTCTACATGCTTGCAGACGAGTTAAGTTAACTCACGAACCGGTAGTGGATTCGGTGGCAGCTTCTTCCATACGCAAATAAATAGATTGGCATACGATCTTCTATACGACGGCGGATTCCTCTTGGAGAAGAACCGACCTTGGAATCTCTTCACCCAACACTTTCACTCAAAATGGAAGTAAGCTCAACAAATACCATCTTTTATTGCTGATTCATGTTTAGGTATGTGCTATTGTCTATCGTGTGTATGTAATGTTCATGTTATGTAGGGTGTTCAATGTCATTCCTGCTCTTTTTTTCCCTCTCTCTCTCCTTAGGCTCGTCCAACAACAACAAATAGTTCGAAATAGAAAGTCCTGTAACATGTTATCACTTTTCGATGCCTACTTTTTCTGTCTGATTGCGGTGGAAACGGAAGTGATGCCAAGCCCACCTTCAGCGAGTAGTCCTTCTACATTACGGTAGGGGTCAAAATTCACCCGCTGCTAACTGGCTGCTCACGAGTATTTCCCAATCAGTATTGACTCAAGCATGTATTCCCATAAAGAGAATAAAATGAATGCATGAGTTGAGAAGGCGATGAGTCTCTGAGAGCCTCTCCCAGGGACGATTGGTCAAAACCATTTGACATTTGGGGATCGGTCCGGGCAGTAGCATTCAAACTGGCAACTCGGCAACGTATATGGAAAACATATGATTAGTTATAATGACGGGGAGCAACATTACGCCACTCTTTCACGAAAGGGGACGCCAAGTTTAAGACGAATGATGCAATAAAACGCATGTTTGGCGAGATCATCATCATCTCAAGGCTTCTCTAAAGTAGGCCGGACGGAGAGAAATTGGTAATAGCTTATAAGTTATATCATCACATTTACTAAGAGGATTGCCAATTTACAGCTGGCCACTTTTACTTATATTTCGTGTTTGAGTAGAGTTATGAGACTACTATTAAATAAGTAATATAAGATGCATTCACCCTATTTCGTGTAAGGTGATGAAGGACTGGTAGTAGAATTTTCACACAATGCTATGAGTTGAGCTGACGTTTTCCATTGAATTTCACATAGCCTTGCTTCCCAAAAGTTGTTCTCATCCAGGCACCAGTGGACTGCAGTTTCGACCTCGCATTGGTCTTTTCAACACTTCCAGCGGGAGTCGAACTGTGACAGTACTCAAACACGAAATATAAGTAACCTAGTCGATTTTTATAGCAAATATACGTTTGCTTCATCGACAATCCCACCTAAGAATATGATATGGCAAAATGCCATACACATCTGCCCTGTGACCCAAGGACAATCGTGACAATGTGGCAGAGGGGTTAAAGTGTCAAGCTCCCATTCTGCACTGTCATGATTAGACTCCCGCTGGGGGTGTTGATAAGACCAATGCGAGGTCGAAACTGCAGTGTGTGCAAGGCTATTTGAAATTCAATGGAAATTCAATGTGGGACAATTCTTCTTCTAAAGTCCTTCATCACCCTAAACGAAATAGGTTGAATACATCTCATATACTTTTTACGTTTTTATTTGGATTGACTAGGACTTAGGCTGTCATTGTGAGGAACTTCACTATCATTCCTTCATTACTTTAACGACTTTTACTAACTAAAGCTCTTATTGAAAAATCTTCTTATAGTCTTTAATTCCTACTCGATTCAAACAGAATAGTAACTTTTTCGACTGTAATGATAAATATGTGTTTTCTTCAGTGACAATTTCACCATAAAAATGTTATATGGAAAGGGCCTAGCTTGTTGTGAATTTCACTTCTATCCTGTGAACGACTGGCAACTGTGGCAGTATGATCTAGTTTTGGCAACATGTCGAAACTCCAAGCTGTACTACCACAGCCCGGGTTCGATTCCCGTTATGGTGCTGATTGGATCTAGCCGAGGTACAATCTGCAGTCCCGTTGAGCCGGCATGATAATACAGTTTGAGAAGCAAGGCTATGAGAACTTCTGGTATTTGAAGAGAAGCTGGGTTGCGAAGAGCTTCATTGGAGAAATGAGATCTGCTCGTCTGATCTTGCGGAAATTTGGCCAAGAGTTCTTTAGGATCTTAATCGAATTAGGCTTACTGCAGCTTTTTTGAATATTTGTATATAAATCGCTGCTCGCTTTAACAATATACGCCACGACGGTACAGACACGGAAACGGATTAGTCAAGGTTGGAGGACAGGGATCCAAGGGCTACTGTCTTCGAATTGCATTCCTCTTGACCCATCGTTCTGTGACTCTGATGAAACCGTAAGAGTTAGAAACCATAATCTACGAAGAAGCAGATCAACATACTAAACTAAAAGAAAAGGTTTACACTGCAAGTCACTTCTCTTTTAGCCTGCATTCCTTCCAACCCAACTATCCTCCAAAAAGTGGTTCTTCTAAATTCTGTTTTTCTTTGTACATTCCAAGAATAGGATCATGTTTGTCTTTAAAATCGAGACAAG